TAACTTGACTCTACAGTTCTCACAACAGTACTATAGCTCCAAAAACATTCAGATTATGGGTTTTTGCACATATCTAATGTAGAAAAGTTGTAGCGTGTCTGTAGGTTGGATTTCACCCACAGATTTCAAAGTTTAAGTGAAAAATAATCTCACTAAAACTTGGTTTAGGAATGAGTGGTTTGAGATACTTGAAATAAGAAATATCTATTGTTTTTGCTTACAGTTCCATCACAGAGATCCAGGGATTGTGGGACTCCTGACAAGTTATGACATTCCTAAACCCATGTTTTATGGATTAATTGCTGATGGTATTCACACACACCCAACAGCTACCAGAATTGCTCACAGGTCACATCCTAGGGGTAGGTGCATTACTAATAGTTGCTTTTGTTTTGTTTTCTTTCTGTCACAATTGCTAAAATCAGCACCCTGCTTCAAATTCATGAAATAAATAAATTTACATGGGCAGATCCAGGATTTTTTCTAGGAGGGGGTGCACTCGTCTCTTGCTCTACTTCAACACCAATAAACCACATAGTTTTTTTTTTTTGGCAGAATACCAGTTGTTTTAGAAAACTGCAGGTCATCTCAGGGGGGGGGGTGCGCACCCCCTGCACCCTCCCCCTAGATCCGCCCCTGATTTAGCAATTGAGAGGTGGCATGTCCACATGGCTCTCCCACCATTTCTTGTGAAATTGGAATTTGGAAATGTTGGTTTATGAGGAAGGGGAAAACCAGTGGACCTGGCCCCGGTTGTTCAAATGTTGGATAGCTCTATCCACCGGATAAATCACCATCCAGCGCATAAGTATTACGGAAATCAATTACGCTATCCGGCGGATAGTGATTTATCCGGTGGATAGCGCTATCCAACGTTTGAACAACTGGGGCCTGGAGAAAAACCTCTCAAACCCACATATGGCATAATTGACACTACCTGATTTGAACCTGGGCCACATTGTTGGGAGGCAAGTGTTCTCACCCCTGCACTCATCCCTTGCTTTCAAGTGTCCGTCATCAAATTCTTGCTTGCCTTTGCTCCCCTTAAATACTAATGCAGGTGGCTATTTCAGAGAAGAACCATGTACCTCCAACCAACACACACCCCCCCCCCTCTCCCGTCATTGATTATGATTTTTGTTTCATCTGGCAGTGTGCAGAATGTTGTATACAGGCGACAGAACTTAATTGGTTACAATTGGACACTGAAAGCCAAATAGAGAACGCACTTTATTTGAGTTCCTAAATAAGAACGAAAGATACATCTCAGTTAAATTCCTGTTAAAATTTCTCAGTTTTTGCATATTATTTTGTGTTATGTCATCTTTAGGCCAAGACTCTGAGGATCAAGCAAATTAAGTACCCCCTTGAAATCAGTACCCCCTCCTCTCTGGTTAGCTCACCTTCCCCAAATAAAACCGAAATGGTATTAAGGAAAAGTTTAAAAATGTATAATAACATGTCATAAAAATGTTGGAGATTCTCTTGAAGAATAGGAAGCAATTGAGTGGTATAGCCTTTGCTCAAAGACTTAAGACTCTCTCTCTCTCTGAACTGCAGGTCTTGTGCTGATAACAGATGCTATTGCAGCACTGGGTCTCCCCCCAGGTTTACATAAACTTGGCCCAATGAAGGTGGAAATTGATCATGAAAAGGCCACATTACAAGGAACAAATACTCTGGCTGGAAGGTTACTATCTTTGATAATAGAAATCAGCATAAAAATAGGGATGACACTAAATTCTGTTCCGAAACTTAATGGAAACTTTACCTTAATCTCTGTATAATTATACTCGAAAGCTCTTAACTACTAACCTAAACTACTAACAGAAAATAATTATACACAATTATATCTGCCTTACATTCTAATCATGATGCAATCTTGAAACATTTCTTTTCTTTGATCTGTTTATCAGAAATTTGCTATTATTATGAGTACTAGTAGTTATTAATATGTTACTATCATGGTGATTTTTGCAGTATTGCCTCCATGGATGTCTGCATTCAAAGATTTAAGAAAATGTCAGGTTAGTTTTAACAACTCCCAACTTATTTGCCCTACATTAAGAGGTGTTGTTTTCATGTAGCTTGAGCCAGTTTCTATCTTTGCGAATGCTTATGCAGCCTTTTGACGTTTTAATAATAATAGCATTTATTTAAATTTATACGCATTCTCTAGATCTTTCTTTAAATACAATGGCGGGGCGTAGAAAAACACAGGCGATGCGTTGGTCATGACTGACCTTATACAAGATGTATATATACAAGATATTTTTGCTCCAAGGGGTGTCTAGCCTGCGAGCAAGCTCTCCTATTTGGGCGAGTGAAGGGAGCTGCGTGAGAACATGTGTACTTTACACGATATTCTCCAAGTGGAGAGCTTGCTTGTAGGCTAAGGGGTGTTCAGAAGCTCAGTGTCAACTCCTTTTGGGAGAACTCAAGTTTTTTTCTAGTCGCACATCACTGACTGAAAAAAAATACAGTCAAGTAACACCATTGCAGTGTACTGTTTCTTTTTCATTTTAGGGTGCACCATAGTAGAAGCACTTGAAGGAGCCACACTACACCCTGCCCAGTTGTTACAAATTGAACACAGAAAAGGGATCTTAAATTACAATTCAGATGCAGATTTAGTGTTTGTGGATGATGACCTCAATGTTCACGCAACTTTTATAGCTGGTGAACCAGTGTGGTTGAAAAAAGGGGGTCTTGTTACTGGAGATGTGCAGCTCAAATATAACTTGATTTCTAAGAAAGTTAAAAAACAGAATTGAAAATTCAAAAGCAGGTTGGGCTGCAAGTGTTGTTGATTACGCTGAACATAGGATCAGAAGTCACTTTAAATTTCATTTCTCTCTTCAAATGATTATATTCATAACTAGAGAGAGAAGATGTGTGTTGTTGTGTTGCCATGGTAACATTTCTGGATCTCAGCAATCTTAAGTAGGTAGCTTTAGATACCACAGTAAGGAAAATGTCACTTGAAAAGCAACTTTGCATTGTTTGAAGATTTGTCTTGTGTAGGCGAATTTTCTCGTCATATGTGGATGATTGATAAAGCATGAGTTAGGGTATTCATGTTGTAGTCATATAGTGTGTGCAAAGAAATGTACAGAAAAGAGTGCTGCAAATGCAAAGTTGTCGTTTTGCTTATCTTAGCCTACTGCTTTTTTTGAGGTTCTCGTTGTTGTCATCACAGTGAAATCTTAAATTCCTGTTAGAATATTCAAACAACTCAACAAGTTTAGAATATTTTATTGTAGTGGTTTTCTTCCTGATTAATCAATTTTGGGGAAGAAATATGTAATCACTCTGATCGACATAGCCGCTATACTTGCAAGACTACAGTTTGGAGAGATCCAGAAATTTTGCCACCATGGCAACACAATGTAATGGCTTCTCCTCTAAATTATTTATTATTTTTATTTTTTCACTGTGATGTCTTGTCACACTAATCTTTACACTTTTGAGTTAATCACAATTCTTTATTACAATATTTATTTGATTTTAAAAGAGAGTAGTTAAATGAAGTTTAACTGTATTTTTGCAATCAACCTGCAGTCATAACCAACTGTTAAACACTTAAATAAAAAAAATGTTTGTTGAAAAACTAGCATTTCTTTTTTTCTTGTTAAATTCCCTCAAAGTTTAGGATGTGTTAGGTATAGAACTGATTTTAATAAAGTTATTGTACAGTAATAATTTATTTGTCAATTATTAGGTCTATACAATTGTACATTGTATGTACTTGATAAGTACATGATTTTTTATTATAATAGAAATAAAGAATTGAGTCTATGTGCATTAGTTACAATACATTATTGTTACCAAGCATTGAACGACGAACTTCAAAATGACGCTTTATTTCTAATGTACAGTTGTGTTACATCATGGAAATGTTACCACACAGTACCAAAACATGACAGCAAAGTTTGTATGCTGTGGATGGGTATCAATTCTATGGTCAATACTGTCATGTGGATTACCACTGTCAAAGAAAAAAAATGAACAAGGGAGAGAGAGACTTTTTTCTTCTACACTGTCACGTGCAGCCTTTATAAAGAGCCGATGTTACTCTTCTAGTTATACCATTTCTGACTTTGAGCACTGTTTTAAGGTTTTTTATTTTCATCTTTTCCTCTAGCAGATGTGTTCCACATTAAACATGCTCTGACAGGACTATCATTTTGGCACCTAAAAACTCATCTACACTCATGATCTACTGCTTCGGTAATGTTGCCTGGAATACATGTAGTCTAACCAAGGCTGCTAAAAAATGACATGAGGGGCAAGTTTTAACTCAATGTGACATTAATTTTTTTTAAATAAAATACACAAAGAGCTTGAAATTTTTGTTTCATTTTCTGCTTCCCTGTTGTGCTTGTATGTGTTTTGTGAAAACTCTGCAGCAGATTGTCTTACCTCTTAACAATCCATCATAACCCTTTTTTGTACAGTTTTTTGAAACAGGAAAATAGACCTGTTCCACATTCTTGGAAGCAAAGGAACCGTTCGCACTGGATTGTCAGTTAACGCATGTGGAAAAGGTCTATTTCATTTCTGAGGAACAACACTACCATCACAGAAGTTCAATACGGTTTAACAAAACCCACCAAATAGCAAGATTTATAACAATGAGCACAACTACTCACTATTTCATGGCAAAAATATGTTATCTTTCAAGATCAATAATGTTTACATTGTAGTTTCTATTTAACATCATGAATTAAAAATGACCCCGCNGGTTTAACAAAACCCACCAAATAGCAAGATTTATAACAATGAGCACAACTACTCACTATTTCATGGCAAAAATATGTTATCTTTCAAGATCAATAATGTTTACATTGTAGTTTCTATTTAACATCATGAATTAAAAATGACCCCGCAACTTGTGGGTTTTAAACAAATAATTCTCAGAATAAAGTTCCAGTTTGTTGCCTGCAAAGGTTTATTTTCAAAGCATCTTTCTTCAAGAGCACTTTCATCCTTGGAGTTTACTACCACCAAGCCCAAGATTCTTCTTTTGCCTTTACTAAGTATTTCTCCACCTGTGAAACAAGGATACATGGCAATCATGATTACAATTTTTTTTGGAAAACTATCCATAGCTGCAAAAACCACTAAGTAAACATGAAATCAAACCATAGTAGAAATAAAGAGTGAAAAAAGCATTATAGAAACGTTTTGGTCAGCCTGTTTGCTAACATAAACATAACCTGTTTGGAGGAAGACTTTCTCCCTCAACAATATTTATTTGTCTGAATAAGAGAAAGAACAAAGGTAAATGTTCAAGCCTTGGAACAAAAAGTGCATGACAGAAAAAATTTTTTTCCAAGGTTTGGAGGGTGGGTGACAAGTGCAAAGCAAGGGGTTAAAAATCACTTGGGTGCGTCAAGTTTGCACAGGTTGTGATTTTAAGAACTTTTTTCTACCGTCCATATGATTGCATCATAGGGTGGAGATCGTTGTTTGCCTTCTCTTCTTATTCCTTTAAAGAAGGGATACATAGAAAATACATGTACCCTACATGTAGCTCCCCTAGTTCCCTTTTGTGGTCTGGGTGAGGAAAGGTTGCTGACAATACTGAATGGAGTACTGGGGGCTGAATGTAAAGTCAACTCTCTCTATATGGACACCTCCATCTATGTAAGACCGGTACCTCTCTAAAAGGAGAACCTAGAGTTGGTCCCTGCATTTCTTTACTCCTTTTAGTTGACTCTCAATAAAACGGAGACTTAGATGTGTCAGTCCTAAAGGTGTCCTTCTCAGATAGAGTTAACTGTTCTGCCATTATAGTACTGTTATATAGAAACAAACCTTTTCTCTCATCTCTGGATCAGGTTCGACCTGCATCTCCTCCATCAAACTCCAAAACATTTTTACAGCTTCTCTGTCATTATACTTGATAAGCAGATCAAAAATCTCCCCGAATATATCCAGATCAAACTTGGCATCTGGAGTGTCAAAGTACCGGTCCATTAGCTGCAACAAGACAAAAAATGTAATTTCATTATCACACAAACATTATTAATTTTTGGTTAGATGGGTATGGTAATGGGTAAGATAAAAGCACTTTACAAGCAAAGCTACATTTTGAACATTAAATGGGCAATGAAAACATGCAATTGATATTTTGTTTTGAAACATTGCTGCAAAATGAGTTGAAAGGAATATTCCGAGTTTTACCACCCACGAATCACACCCATCTTGCAACAAATCAGGTTGTTACAAGTTGTGTGAATACCGACTTCTGATTGGATAAAACTAAGCAGGAGTCATGCCCTGCACGAGAGTTATGTCACTAGTTGCAAGACAAGTTTGCCTTGGGCTGGTATAATACCTAACATCACTGCTCAACTCATTTTGCAGCAATATTAGAAAATTCCTGGTTTTTGTTGTTCGTTTTCCTGTACCTTACACCAGGACCTTATGGTAAAACCTGCTGGTTGCCAAGCTATCATTTAAGGACATGTTTTTCTTGCTGCCTGAGTTCATGAAACACGCAAGAAATGATACCACCTCATTTTCTGTAAAAAAAAAAGACTTTACCTTTTCCACCATTCTCTCTCGCTCATTGTACTCTTCTTCTGTCATCATCTAAAAGAAACCAATGTTTACCAAACATTCCATTATTGATGCTTACAGTGTGTCATGGAATGGTTCTTCTTTGCTTCAGCAATAATAGTTAGATGACTACTTCCACCTATTGTGACCCTGTTTTTTCAAGTTCAAGTTTTAGAAAGGCCAAATAGTTCGTGGTTGAGCACTCATGTTGGCAAGATGGACAGAAAATTTATTTTTAATAAAAGCTGTTGATCTGTTTCTACACTGCTATAGTACATGTGGTCAAGAATTCTCCTAAATGCAGTGTCTATTACAAAAAATAAGGAAAAACGCTATGACAAACATTTTTCCACACAAGTAATCAGGATGATAAGAGGATTTCGTTCAGGGAAAAAAATTGGGGGGTTAGTTGCACTTTAAATAAAATTGAAACCTTTAAAATTAACCAAATGATATCGAACAAACTTCAGTACGTTGTCCGAGACGTTGAGATCAGATGAATTTGGTAACTGTAACATAAGAATAACGTTTATGAGCAGTCTGAATGCCTGGTTCACGCTAGTGATACAACCTCATCAGAAGGTCATCACATTATGTAAGATGTGTGAACAAGCTCACGTAAAAACCGAATACTTACACGAGCTTCAATTTCATGTATGTCGTTTAGCCACCTCCACAACCAGCTACGTTTCTTGGCCTTTTCCAACCAGCTTTCTTCTTTTTCTTCCTCTATTTCCCCATAGGTTGTCTCCCCTGCTCCAGATGCGGTTGTCTGCCATCTTCGACAAGTTTGGCATGACACGATGGTCGGCCAACATCTCACTCCAACACATGGCGAATAAACTAAAAAATGACGTGAAAATACAAATAAGAACAGAGAAGAACAAGAGAAATCACTTAATTAGGATTTAAAGTTTTCCACCAACCAAAAGTAGAGGATTTTCCTATCTGTCTTGAGGCAGAAAAGAATAATGATCTACAACAGTTTATGGCCCCTCTTGCCGCGACCGTCGCCATCTTTTTGGGCAATATCGTAACACCATGAGCATTCTGGGAACAAGGCTTGGTTACCTAATATTTGTTGCACTTACATGAAGTACTCGTTCATCATTGCCCGGAAACAAAGTCGATAAAAACATGGAGTTTCCCCACCTAGGGACGAATTGCGCTCTTACAACATGTAAGCAGTTAGGTGAGTTTGTCTGATTTCGCTTGCTTATTGCTTCGTTTTGTAAACTGCGAGTTTCACAGGCTAGCGGTGGTAGGTTTATGTGCATGTAGATCGAGTGTAATAAAAATTCTGAATGATGACTTGGCAAAAGTCTTGGAGAAGATCATTTTGATGGTAAAGATAAGCTTACGGGGTAGGTCAGATGTGTAAAATTCTGGCTTGGTTTATCGTTTCTAGATTTTCTTCCATTGAAGTGTGATGCCTGTTCCAAGTTATTTTGGTGAGT